GCGAGCAGCGAGAGAAATGGAGCATTTCCAGATGCTTAGAACACGTTATCAAGGTGTTTGGTTTCCCTCAGCTTGTGTGGTTTTAACTGATATGTTTGATAGAACAAGCTGTCATCTCGTCTTAAATCAAGTTTATAGTAGTTTTATAGTTCCTAGAGAAGGAAGCGCTCCTTCTAATTCAGGGTTGTTTTTTTGCATGAGATAGAAAATCGTAAGTTTAGCCAAGCAATTTAATTACAGATGTACATTTTCTGAGGTGCCTGTGAAGAGAATGTGTGCTTATTCTTCTTGCTTTGGGGGGAGGACACACAGAGGGTTTTCATACAATTCCTCATGTTAGGAGAAATCAGTTCATTACCAGGAAATTCTGTGGTGCTCTTGGGTGGTGCTTGCTCTTTGCTCTGACCGCTTTAGTGCTTGTGAATGTGGATCTGGTTTGGATGCAGGAAATGCATCCTGGGTCTGCTGGGAAGTGACCGGGTTATCTGGGAGCAGCAGTGGGTGCCGGGACTCAAGGGTGCTGGGGTAACCTTGTTTCCGTACAGTGCTTGCCAGGTGCAGGGTTGCAGCTTTGAGCAGAGCTGCCTTTCATTAATGGAGTTGGCAGCCGCAGTCGTTAATCATCCTGGTAAACACTTAATGACACGGGACGAGGAAGAAGAAAAAGTTAAACATCGGAAATGGAAAATGCTACCTAGGGCTTTTGTTTCTGACAGGTTCTGTATTTACAGGCCCTCTTGGGCAAAGCCCAGAATTTCCACCGTAGGAAAGCCAAGTTGTAATTGCTTCGTGTGCTGAGGCTGTTCTGGAGGGGCGAGGCAGCAATGCCCCAATTCCAGTCTGACATCCAGCATCAACCTACTACATATTTTTAGGCTTAGCTATTGCTTGGTACTATGCAAATAAATGCAACTACAGAACTGCATGGAGCATTAGTTACATGGGAAGGGATTCCGTGACGATGCTGCGCTGGGCACCTTGAGTCGCGTCCTCGCAGAACATCTCTGATGTGCTCTCACAATTTTGCTTTGCTGGCACAATGGTGACATTCTCCTCTTCTCCTTGACTTCGAGCTATTTCCTGCCTTTTCTCTAAAAGCACAGAAAAGATGTTGAAGGTTTGGGGAATTGCCTGAGGGGCTGGACGGGTTTGGGAAGCATTCACCCACACCAGCAGAGAGTGGGTGCAGGCGATGCGTTGTCTGTCACTTGCTACCCCAATGCCACCTCAGCCCCAGCAGCTCAGCGTCACAGGCAGCTAGTGACATGTTTGTTCATCACAGTACCACTCCAGGTAGGGACCAAGCAGTGTGACCTACTGCTACTTCAGTTTGGGTTTTTTAGATGCTTTAAAGTGCCTTTTAGAATCACCTGTGTCTGAAAACGCACCTGTTTGTTTTAAGGCTGCCCTGCACGGTGTGGTGTATTGTAACATTCCCCTACATTACCAGTTCATCCCTTACTTACTGGAGTACCATAATGTGTTCTGAACTCGTGGGACTGGCTGTTGCCATCACTGTAGTCATGGTGAGGAAGTGTCCAGGTCCCCTCTGCAGCGTGCCAGCAAGATGGCAAAGCTCTGGCGAGCAGCAGTGCTCGCTAGTTTCCTGAGGACTGTAAAGTTACTCAGTGTGTTTTGTTTAATGCTTTCCATTAGGCTGGAGTTAATTCCAATGTGTTTCTCTTAAGCGCGGTTTCCTGAAGGCAGAGGCCGCCGGAGCACTTAGAGCTGGAGCCTCCTCGCGCCCGCATCGGCTCGGGGATCTCTGCAGAGCAGTGGGAGTATTTAACTCTGACTAATTGCCTGCTGCCCTTGTGATCACAGAGTAGAAAATATTATGGTGCTGTTGGGGAATGCTGTTATTAGAAGTTTGTTGCTCCACTCCTGGCACGCGGGGTTGCTCTTGGGTTTTGCTGAGTTGGGGTTGGAACACCTTAACATAAGGGTTTGTGGGGGACAAGTGCCTTTCCCACATCCCACCCGGGTTTGTCATGAGCTCGCTGGGTGCTTGCCGCACCAGCTTTGGGTACCGCACTTCCCAAAGCATGTCCATCCTCACAGCTGTCAGCAGAGATGTAGGAAAACCCAGGTTCTTTAGAGCAGAAGAAAAACCTCTGGAAGTGAAATGAGAAGGAAGTAACGCTTACATGTTACTGGGGAGAGCAGAGCTGGGAGTAAACTGTTAGTACACCTGACTGATGCCGTCTGGCAGGCGCGGGCGGCTCTCCTGTGCCTGTGATGATGAGTTAGGGAAGGAGATGGAAATTCCTCTCTAACAGCAGCACTTCATTATGGGTTTATTTTGTGAAATTAATGAAATTCTGCACTTTGCTTAATGCACAAAGCAGGAAATGTGGCGCTGGCTTTGCCGCTGCAGCTTCTCAGCCGGGTTTGCATAATTAGTGACTGTTGTGAGCAGGCTCTGTGGTTCTGCACAATGGGAAGGTTGCCCTTCCTGGCAGTTTGAAACAAGAGCACTGATACCTGCCACTCTATTTGTGCTCTCAGAAAGGAGATTCCTCATCCTCCCCTTAGGAAAACCCACTTTTTTCCTTCCCTTTTGTCAGTGTTGGGACTGACTCTCTAATTCTGTAATGATAAGTCTGGAAAAAGGGCTGATTTAGCAGTTCTGTGCAGTTGCTGCGACCAAGCTGAATCCTGTTAAGCACAGCAGACAGATGAAATGCATTGTTTTGGGTAATGTTCTGCTCTCCTGGTTTGGTGGGGTTGCTTGTTGGTTTTTCTGTATCCCAAATAAATTCAATTGAATGAATTAAATTAACTTCTTGTATACTCAGTGATAGCTAAGGAATCCTAATTAGTTTTAGTATATTATACATGCAGGATAAAATGCTGCTGCTATTTAACTTGGGCTGTTTGATACTAGGAAGCTACTGAAATACCTCTGAGTATGTTTAACTGTTCCTAGCTGTTGAGTTGGAGCCTCAGCCCTGTTTTGAGCTCCCAAGGCCATGTACTGGTACCGGCTTCGTGGTGAATGTGCCTGCACATGGAGATGGAGCCACCTGTACTGGTGTTTGGTAAATGGCTGTGCTGGTTCATGTGCTGAGGGGGTGAGGACAGTCTTTGGGATCAGGGATAAAACCTCTTGGGGTTATTGCCATGTCAGGCACCTCTGGGTTCCTCTGTGCCAGTGGGTGGGCATGTGGGTCCAGGTGCCTGCTCTATACAAGCAGCTCTGAGCACTTTGTCATATATTCAGCACAAGTAAAGCACCAGGCATCATGGATTGCTCTAGGAATGCAGGAGAATAAGGTGGAATATTTGTCCCTCCAGTCCATTAACCTGGTATGATTTTCCTAACCAGCATTGTCTGTTGGGGCTCATCCTCAATGGCACGTGGTTACTCTGAAGTGTAGTGTCAAAAGAGAACATGGGATCTGGTGGAGGGGGAATCAGAAGCTGGAGTTACCAGCCATGCAAAGCCTTCTTCAACCATGAGGGAGTCAGTAGAGTTCACTAACTCAGTGGTTATTGAGCTGGTCATCTCCAGAACACCCCCAGGAGTGGTGGGTACCGCTGCATGGCATGTTTGGTTCTCTGCCTTGCCCAGCGCTGAGTAAAACACTCACTGCTCTGTTGCACGAGTTGTGCTTTGTGCTGCATTTAGCAAGGGAAATGCTACAGCAAAGTCAATTTGCAAAGTCAGTTTTAGTGTCTCTCTGCGAGGGGCTGGTGTGTATAAACACAAATGAATTGGTCTCTGGTCAAATAAATGGGAACTGAGGATATTGTATTTTGTCAGTGGTTGAAATCTCGTCGTCTTGGTCTCCTGTTCGCTGCTGCCAGGGGTGGCTGTTTCATTTTGAAGAGAAAAATTGGGATTTAGAGGGAAAAGAAAAACTGGATATGGAGGAAAAATCAGTGCCAATAAAAGCAAAGATTTTGTGTAGGATAGAACTGAACAAAAAGGACTGAGTGAAATGGATTTGTGTTCTGCAAAGGCGGCGGGTGCCGGGGAACAAGGGTTTCCAAATTGCTTTCCTTCAGAATGAGCTGTCTCCAAGCCTGTTGTGTAACCCTTGATTCATGGATCAGCCTTGGCACGCGGGTGAAGTAACAGAGAAAAGCTGGATTTTGGGTTTGGGTCACAAAACCTGGAATTGAGAAATGCTGGGAGTAATGGCGAGAACTTAGGTTTAACTCCAACATGTGACGGTGACTTCAGCAGGAGAGTTTTGAATGCTGCTGCTGCTGCTGGGGTTGTTACAGCCACAGAGCTGGCTGTGGTACCGGTACGTTGGGCTTGAGATGCCATGTGTTCCGTGGGAACGTGTGCAGGCAGGTCCCATCCCTTCCCCTCTGACCACAGCGGTTTGTCATCACTTGGTGGCTGCTTTCCCTTAGGACACAGTTTTGGGGGGCGGTTTGTTTCTTGCCTTTGAGCTTGAAGCTGGTTTTACCCAGATGAGAGATTCCCAGAGCTGAATGCCTTGGCTGGCAGGGAAGAGACGCCAGAGTGAGGAGGGATGTGGTGCCCTTGGTGCTTGTCTCTTCCTAAAGTTATCTGATGTAAATATGACGCGCTCTGCATAAATTTAGGATAGATAATTGACTGCATCGTGCTTGGAAATGGGTACCAAAGGTTGTTTTATAGCTTGTGTGTAATTGAAATTCCAGGAGGAAAGGCCTTTGTCTCAGTAACCACATTTGAATTACTTTTTTATTGTAGCATTAAACCCGTGCGTTGGGATGCTTGGGGTTGGTGTGCGTGGGGGCAATAGCTGCAGGGCCAGAGAACAAGGCAAGAGCAGGGAATGCAGCGGTGGTGTCCTGACCCGAGCAGCGGTCTCCTGCCCCGGTGTGGAGGTGCAAAACCTTCCCCAGGCAGGCTACAACACAGAGTAAAGCAGGATAAGATGCAGGACGTCGGGGGGGCTGACGGCGCTGCCGGGGGCTGTGTGTGGTGCGAGAGCTGTGATGTGCTTCCATGGAAGGTTCCAGTTGTACTCACTGAAGCTCCTTTGTTTTGCAGAGATCTTGATGCAGACGCCCTTTTGGATTTCTTTTTAATAATGTGTGACCCTTCACCTTTGATCCCCTGACCTGCATTACTTTGGTAACCATTTCATTTTTTTAATTTCATTTCATTTTTAATTTTTGGTGTGCAAGCTGTTAACATTTCATCGTTTTAAACTGTAGCGTTCTGTGACCTCCCCAAAGGTCTCTCTTAGTTTTTCTTTTGGAAGCTCTGTAATGTTGGCTTTTCTTGAATAAAAACCTATTTCAGTTGTTAAAATAAAGTATGTCATTTCCATTGGCTTTTGTTTCTTTTAAGTTGAACTGTGTCTTTTGTTTCCTGTTTATTACCTTGTTTTTGACCTGTGTTCTCCCAGTACTTTCAGTTTATTTTGATGTTTCTGTACATCTTCGGTTTTCATTTGCATTTCTCTGCTGTTCTTTTGGTGAGTCAAACATCTGCTGTCCCCCCCTCCACTGCCCAGCCACATCTTGATAGCTCAGACAAATAGAGGGAGCATTTAAGATGCTCTTGTGACTAGGAAATACTCTTTACTTGTTCCCTGTCCTGGAGATAACTTTTCCTGACCATCAGCTTGAAACGGATAGCCATTTTAATAAAAGATTAGGCTTTAGACCAAAATGAAAATCTCCATTGAAACTCAATTTACATTTATTTGTACATTAGCACTGAAGCCAAAAGGCACGTTATAGATACTCCGAGCTGTGCTATAAGCACGGGTGTGCTCAGAGCAGCAGTGTTGTGTGTACATGGGGTAGTAAAGCCCCCGAAGTTTAGGAGCTGTTTCTTTCCATTTTCCTATGGAAGGGGTACCAGCACGTAGGGCAGATTTTGGCCAGATCCTATTTTTATCTTGTAAATGAACACATGAAACCCATGGAGCACAGCCCACTGAAGTACAGATTATTTTTTAAGTGTCTCATTATTTTATTCTCTAACATTTAATGCTGAAGTTTTAATTGCACACAGATGAAGCTGCTAAATGAGCACTGAAATGGATTTAGGTCTTCTCTGAGCCTTGTTGATGCTTATAAAACTTTATATCGTTCATTAGAGCTACAGATTAAAATGGCAGTGAGCTGTCCATGTGCTCCATGGCAGCTCCACTGACCCTGCTGGCTGCTGCCTGTGGCCCAAAGCCTGTCCCTGCTCATGCCTTAGGGCTCAGGGGCTGAGCTCCTGGGCACTGGGGCTGCACCAGCATCACCAGGGGCTGCTTCGAGAAAAGCATCTTCTAGTTCTAGTTAGCATCCATGCGTGAGAGGATGGTACTTCCAGCACTGCTCTTGGCGCTTCAGCAGCGAGCTCTCTGTTTTTAGATTGCCCTTGGTTGTGTTTGCAGAGTCACCTGTTAAATAACGTGGCAGGCAGTGTTCCCAAAGTGCTGCTGAGCAGCAGCTCCTCCGTGCTGGGTGTATGTGTCGCTCTGACCCAGTGGTTGGGAGCTAACATGGGCGATCACAGCCTGCATCAGGGCTTGAAGCGTTCAGGTGGTTCTTTCCTTTACCCCTCTTCTTCCAAATTTTAGCTCTTAAGAGCTTTGTAGGCCTGGAGTCACCAGTTCTGGTGTGCAAGGCTGCTGCTCCTACATGGAGCGTGTTTTGGATAGCTGGGATTTGGCTTTTACTCTGGTTTTAATGTCAGCCTGAGAGGTGCAATCCTCCAAAGTCACCTCGAGCTATTTCTCCACTTCAGAACTCGTTTTTAAAACCCAGTGGAAAAAAGTACTTATTTTGCCCAAGAAAACTCCTTGCAGACTGTTTTCCCCTCCCTGTGACACCCATTTCACAGCAGCAGCAGCAGTCAGACGTGACTTTCGAGGAAAGCAATTTTCAGACCCCTTTTATTTAGACATCTGGAAGCCAAAGGGAATCTCCCTGCTCTGTGCAGAGGGTTGGTGTCAGCTGCCTCCTGCTCGAGCACAGAGCAAGGGGAAAAAAACCTGGTGGAGTAAAACTGTCTGATGCTGGGAATTGGAGTCAATAGTATAACAGGGAGGTTAAAAGATGGGTAGAACTTCTTGTTTCAGGAGATTTATCACGTCCGTCCTGCCTGCTTTCCATAAGGTAAGCGCTCTTAGCGGTAGAAGTAGTTGGCTTTATCTGCTGAGGTGTCGGGGTGACACAGGCTGGTGCATGCTGCCTTTTCCCTCATCTTTCCAAGTGTTCTGTTAGATGCAGATGGTTATTCACAGAGATCAGTGTAATGAGTACAGATTATTTCTGTTCAGCTATTGCCTGGGCTCCCTGGGTGCTCGGGCTGCTGAGGAGGGAGGAGGTAGAGCCCTTGGAAAGGGAAACAGGAATTGTTCTGTTTCCTGCATAAACAACAGTAAATATTAGTAAGAAAAGCTGCTTCATTTGCATGCAGTAGCATTGCCATTTACCCAAGCTTAAAGTCTGGTGCAGTAGATAATATCAGCAACAGTTGTCCCTTCTATGGCAAGGGCTGATGGAGGTTCATTCATTTCACTGAGCCTGTTTTTCACTGAACTAAAATACATGTTCGCTTCAGACACTTAATCAAAGAACTACACAAATGCTGCACAGTGTTGGTAAAGCAAAACATTTGTCTGTTTAAATATTAAGAGAATATTGAGAGATTTGTACTTGCTTATGAGGTTTTTCTGTTATTCAGAGCCAGAATATTGATAACATCCATTCCGGAAGCAAGTCTGGATTTTTAAATGAATGCAATATCTGCTTCTGCTGGAGAGGTTTCTGTGCTAACCTTAACATAAGCTAATGGCTGAACTGAAATACTTGCCACCTTTACTAGACTTAGAACATTGCATGTCTTGCAGCTCAGGTATTGCAGCCGGGGCTGGATTAACGTTAATGTGTGTGAGCTGTTCATTTCATAGAACAGTGGCACTGCAGCCTGGACTGCTGCAGAAAGCAGCTGGACCGGTCACACAAGCCAGCACTGGGGTTTTATGTTAATAAATTCATCCAGATGTGCAGGATGAAGTGTGCAGCACAGGTCCCTGGTGTGTGCCTGAGGAACCATAGGTTTCTGTACCCGTACACTGAGCAGAGGGGCAGCTGTGCCCCACTCCTGTGCTTTAGGGCTGGTGGCTTCTGGGGAGAACCTTGGAGGGAAGGGGAGGAATGCTGCTGGGTGGATTTCCCAGGCTTGTGGCCCTGCTTGTGCTCTGTGTGTGTATTGTCTGCCAAGTCCTTCAATAATTGAGTTACTGCTCTTGCTTTAATCTTTACGTTCTGGAAATGGGTGAAGGTCTTTGGTTGCTGAAGGGGGGAACCTTCCCTGGCTCCGTCCTGTGCTGCTGCTTTTACTCTGCTTACAGAAGTAGAACTCCTGTAGCCACCGAAACCCTGCGTTTGGCTTCCTGTGTGTGCTGGAGCTTAGGGCCCTCTGCCTGTCCTTGGCTCGTAGCTGCAGACCTTGGGTGAGGAAACACTGGGTGATAAAAATGTGTTTTTATTTCTCCTTCAGGTCTGGCTTGTCTGCTTTTCAGCTCTTCTAGAGATTGGAAATTCCAGTTTGTGTTTATTTTCTCTGGATTCCTTCCCACAAGACAGAAGTGAATTCAGCATGGATTGTTGGGGAGAGCCTTGGCTGGGAATAAGGATAATTGCAGTCTCTGGCTGTGCCACAGATTTACTGATGATTTCTTTTTAAGTTATTCACCTGCACTGTATCTGTTTCCTCAGCTGTAAAATATGGGTAATTACCTCCATTGTAAAATGTTATGGGGTCTGCTGGTAATTATATGAATGAAGTGCTAATTACAGTGATTATTACTTGGACCTAGTCTAGATCTGGGTGATGTTCCTGTTGTGTTGAACATATGAAACAAATACTACAACTTGTCTCCATTCTTTGTTAGGGGCTGGGGGGAAGGTGCCGCGACACTGGGATGTGAATCCCTGAGGGAAGCACTGCTGCTTTCCCACCCAATCCATTCACTTCCCGTCCTCCTCGGTCCTCGTGCGGTAGCGGGGCAGTGGGCTGATGAGAGGCGAAGCAATTACTAATTCAGTGCTTGGATCCACGTGTCATTAGATAACCAGGGTTTGTGCCTTGGCATTCGCTTTCCCTCTTGGGGATGAGTAGAAGAAAGCAGATGGGGAGTGGTGCTCTTGGAGATGCCAGTGGGTTGAGGCCAATCTGTTCTACCTGATGCCCTCCGTTCCTCTGGAACATCTGACCCTGATGTGAGGAAGGGCTCTCCTTCCAGCTGTTGAGGTTATTTTGCTCCTGGTAAATGACTGCAGCTTACAAGGCTCTGTTACCAAACCTGTTATTTGCCTTTCTCTCCATTTGTTTAGGGTGCATTTTCTTGGTAGCTGGGAATAGCTCCACTATCCCTTGAGCGAGGCTGGGGTGTGGGGGAAGAAGTGAAATGCCTGAAGGTGGAAATGGAGTGTTCTCATCCAGAAAACACTGCTGCTGCTCCTTGGATATTGCTCTAGTTTGATGGTAACAGTAGTAAGAAATGTCTTTCATCCATAAGGATAAGGGATTCCCACCCAATACAAGCCTTCCCTGAACACAGGGACACCAAAACCCTTATTCTTGGCTCTTGCTGTGGTTCCTGCCTGCTCTGGGTCCTGCTGGACCGATTCAGCATCAACATTGCCCTTTCCCTACGCTGGAGGAGCAACCATGGATCTTGGTAATGTCTTCAGAGGGTGGCAGTGAGCTAGATAGAGGTGGCAGGCTGAGCAGCGCTTCCTTCCTTGTGGCTTCATCACTGCAGTGAATTGAGGAGGGTTTAGTTCCTGTCCAGGATGACAATGTGGAAAGGTTTTCCAGCAGTGGAAGTACAATCTTTAGTTGTTTTGCACTTGAATATTCCAAAGTCGATGCTCATCTCCGACAGCTTCTTTCTGATTGATCCTGCATCAGTCGTTGATTTATGCAACGGTATCTCAGTAGCTGGCATGTGAATCCCATCTAATACTGCTTATTGGATTGTTGTTCTGTTTGAGGCTAACTTTGATTCCAAGCACAGGTTTCTTCTAAGGTTTCTAGGTTTAAAACTTTAAAATCATAACTGAAAGTCTGCCAAATACTTGTATTTTACGTCTCTCTAGATGTGGGTATGCCTATACTGACACATCCATCCACTTTTTGGAAAGCAAAATCTTGGTTCATTCCTACAGAAGCATTATCTTTTAATCCTAATTCAGTGTGAGGTGCTTTAGGAGTGAATAATGCCATATAAATTTCTTGCACGTTGCACAAGTGAATTGACTTGTGTGCGCTCTGCCAGTTTGGTCTGGTGTGAGGCACGTTAAATTACTGCATAACCTGAAGGATAATCAATAAATCAGAGCTGAGATTTATTCAGCTCTAATTTTACAGTGTTCTTGTGGAAAGTGGGAAGGTGTTTGCTATCTGTGGGATTTCAGTACCTCAGACCCACTCTGAATGCTGTAAATCAACGTTGTAAGTAACATACAAGCTTTATTTCTTTTTAAGATGATGTTTAGCAACATAATAATTAGAAACTCGAGTTTTCCTCCTCTTAGAAATCAGGGAACCCTTTGGTTTTCATTGCGGTGGCGAAGTGTTGCATAAAACCTCTGTAGCTTATGGTAAAAATGCTTTCAACTATCTGCAAGTGTAGCATCACCACAAAAAGCATTAAAGCAAAGTGATGCCACGGTAAGGTGCTGTAAATGGAGACGTCTCTCGTTTCCAGAGCAGGTTTTAGAACTGACATATACCCCCTTCGGGCAGCGATCGGTGAAGTGGTCAAGGCGCATTTCTGTTTGTCAGTGGTTACTGCAGGAAAGCCTGCTCTAACGTTTTATGGTGTGTTTAATTACCTGTCGTGCTCGGCTCTGTGAGGCAGCACGGCAGAGAAACGCCCGGGGTGGATTCAGGATGCTGGAGGAGCACAGCCGCGTCCTCATGTCAGCCCCATCCCGGCTGGTGACTGCGGTGCCTTTGGCATCGCCCATAACCCGGGGCAGCCGCGGCAGAGGCGCGTTGTGCTGCTCATCCCTGCTGGCATCGCCGGAGGAGGAGGATGAAGGTTTCCTTGTGAGCCCCATCTCTAGCTGCCCCTGTCTCTGTACGGACGCAGAATCCCCACAGGAGGGTGCTGTGAAGGCATTTAATGTGCGGAGTTTGCAGGGAAGATCCGAGTTTGGAGGAGACGGTGATTGCAGGGAAGCGGGAGCGATGTGGTTGGGTGAGGGCAGTGTGAGCTGTCCCACGAGGATGCAAGTGGTCGGTGCTGATGCTCACTCGTGTCACCCTCACCCATGGGCTCCTGTGGGTGACGACCACAAGCTGATGCGCTCGAGCTCACAGTAACCAGCTTTGGTACCAAGCAGAGTAGATTTGGATGTAGGAAGATGAGGGCATAAATTGGTACAGTGATGTGCTGTGTGATCCGTGTCATCTCCCTGCCCTCCAGCTGCTGCTAAACTCAGTGGCTGGGGCCCTTTCTGTATTCCATCGGCTCTCCTCCTGCCACCTCAAACGAAGAATAAACAAAGAGCTCAAGCAGGCGCCGTGCTCCGTAGAGTGATGAGCTGTGAAAGTGCTTCATGGGGAAATCCGGGGCGAGAGCTGTCTGCTGCAGCGAGGCTGGTGGCCTGGCACAGGAGGGCTCCGGGGGCGTTCCCGGGGAGGGATAACTGAAAGGCCCTTTCCAGTGTGTGTGCATTAGTTTCTTTCCCCCTATCTGAGTGGTTTCAAGCAATCCCTCCCTCCTTAAATTGATTACCTCGGCATCAGGATGCCTTGGCTTTAAGTACCTGCTAAGCCGCTCCTGTGCCGGTTTGACTTTGCCTTTCTGTTAAAAGTAAAACAGGGTTTAATCTTCTCATTTAGGTGTTTTAATAGAAAGTAAATGTTTAACTTGCTTTGCTGTGGCATCTCAGTCTTTAATCCGTGGGCGCATTCAGAATGGAATGAAAACGTGCTTTTGTGTAAAGCAGGAGTCCCCGGGCACCGGGGATGCTCTGAGCAGCTCTGGGGGTAGGGGGTGTACACACGTGTCTTGATTTCAGTCCTGCAAAGGGCAGGAGGTGGAGGAAGCCTGCTCATGTCAGGTAAAGCAAATCACTGTCTGTGAGCTGATTCATGGTGTTTAGGAATGTGATGGGAAGTTTCAGCACAGATTCCCACTCTGGGAAGAGTCTAAACGTGCTGTATGTTAGGTGTTCATGATGTCTTGCTGCAAGGAGCAGGAGCGTCCTGCGGCATCCGGATTTGGACCTGATTTATGCATCAGATATATAAATCTATTTTTCACAAAATAGCTTACACCTTGTGAGAGTGAACGATGGGATTAAGAGCTTCATTTGGAATAATGTAAACTCAGTATTTCAACTGTTCTAATGAGTTCCTGCATGAGAGCTCCCCAGATTTGACTTCATTTCATGGGTGTCTCTCGCCACGCTTTTCTCCCAGGGAGAAGGAGCTCATGTGTGCCTCTGGCAGGGCTTGTGCCAGTCGCTGCCTTTGCAGTGTCCACGTTTCAGTGTTAACACCTTCCCAGGGATGCACTCGCTGCAGAGCGGTCCCTGTGCTGCCGTCAGAGGGATGCAGATGAGCTGCCTGGGTTTAAGATCTGGAATGTCCTGGCTGAGTTTGGAAATATGGGGGGAGGCAATAAACTGACATTTGGTCCCACGTTTGTCTGAGTGCTTTTGCCATAGTGGGTAAGAGAAAATCCCTGTTTCTTCAGAGATGGGATGCACTGGGAGGATGATGGAGGCTTTGAGCTGCTGCAGCTGAAGTCTCAGTGCTCTGAAAAAGTGCCCTGACATGGCAAACAGCCTACGGGGGGGCTTTGGCATGTGAGGGGCTGGGGCATCCAGGCTGGTTTTGTTCCGCACACACACACAAATTCCTACTTCTGTTATCCTTCCTAATTTTGCTTTCTTTGTTAAAGGGAAATTGGGGGGGGTGGAGTTTGGAAATGTCTTTTTCTGCCATTTTTTTTGTTACTATCAACATAAGGGGCAGGAATCCCTTTTTGACCTTGAATGAAAAGTCACATAGGCTGGAGCACATGGAGCAAAATGAAACAGTTCCATCCAGGACTTATCCTGTTCCACTGACCAGGGAGGGTACAACAGCAGCGTGTCAAGGAGATCCATCTGTGGGCACAGGCACTGTGTCCAGGCCCCTCCATGTTCTGGATCTCATTTCCACTGTGAATCTTAGACCAGGGTCTGCAGCATCCACATGTGTACAGGCTGGTGTGGCACCACAGGCAGATGGTCCTGGAGGGTGATGGCTCATTGATGTCCCGGCAGCATCTCAAGCAATGTTCTCCCTGAGATGAGTTCTGAGGGGTTTGCACCCTTCCACAAGGAAGCAGAGCTGCTCCTTCACTGCTCTGGATTTACAAGTTGGATTTACAGCATATCAGATGTGTAACTGTCTGAGTTGTAGTCATTCTAATTAAACTCATTTGCAAATTCAGCCTGTTTGCCTTTTTCCCTTGCCTTCGTTTCCATTTTGACCAATATCCCTCACCGGCTACGGGTGCTCTAAGATGCTGGGAAGTGTGAGGCACTGAGGAAAATGGTGCCAGTGGGGACATTAGTGGTGTGTATGTCCCCCATAGGAACAGATTGAAATGCTGCATCAGACATGTCTATCACCAAAATCATAAGTATCATGAAAGCAATCTTGTCTAAGGTACCCCTTGGCATGTCAGAGGCAGCTCCTCCCCATGCAAGGCCAAGTGACTCGGAGTTCATCCCCCAGGATTTGGCTTTAAAAGGTGTTTGCTGCCAGCTGACAAAAGAGTCAGGCTCGGCTCCGTTGCACCGGCACCTGCAGCACGCGATGGCAGATGATGGGGATGTATTTCATTATCATTCAGTGCCACGT